TGTATATAGAAATATTAATTTAACCATAGTCACAAGATTAGATCTATTCTCGTGACTATGATTCCACCAAGTATAATTTTGGTTTTTTGCTACACTTGTAACAGCTTCTCGGTTGATGACTTTTAGTTTTTATAAGACCTCCTTGTTAATAAAAAGATGATACTAAATAGGTATTCAATATTATAAATGCACGGGGGTAAGCTTAGAGTTGTTTGAAAACATGACAAATTGGAAGTTGCTACAGTTGCAACACATATTTTGCCATTTTATTTTAGCCCTAGTCAAAATTAAGTAGCTAAGCTGTAAAATGTTTGACATTCTTACAAAAATTTATGAACACGAGAGACAAAACCCTATAAAAACTCGGGATTTTTTTAGCGAAAATTATTTTTTCAATTTGGTAAAATTATCTACAACAGCGACCAAAATTTGATCTAAAATTTTTCTATAATTTTTTTATTATTTTGCATAAAAATATATATATATATAAATATTTATATATGTGAGTAGAAAATAACAATAAATGTATGTATATGTATGTATATATATATATATATATATATATATATATATATATATATATATATATATATATATATATATATATATATATATATATATATATATATATATATATATATGTATATATATATATATATATATATATATATATATATATATATATATATATATATATATATATATATGTATATATATATATATATATATATATATATATATATATATATATATATATATATATATATATATATATAAACAATTTATATATATATATATAATAATAATAAATATAATAATATAATATATATATATATATATATATATATATATATATATATATATATATATATATATATATAAACAATTTTAAAAATTTCCTAAAATACGTTCTCAATTTTATTTTTGACCCAGCACATAGTTTATACAATAAGCAATGTTTTTAAAAAGTTTGACTTAATTTAAAAAAAGTTTATAATCATTTATTTCATGTTGAAAAATTCGCTAATTTATAATGCTTTTAACTTGTAAAATTAAGCTGAAAAAAATAAAATTTTCGTTAATCTTTTAATCTGTTTTAAGTCCAATGCTACTGAAATGTAATTATGGGAACCATGGGAAGCAAAAGAGTTCCTGTAAAGATATCATTTAAATAGTGGGTACCTTAAACAGTATCTAAAAATGTACCTTAAGCTGATCTCTTATAATCAATCAGTGCCTAAAATAGGACAGAAAACAGTCAGTTATTTATCTATCCAAAAACAACATTTTATACATTAAGGGTTTATCTGGGTTTGAGAATTCATTTTTGAGGGTAAAAATTAAATTTGACTTTTCTGACAGAAACTTAATATTAGCTGTTTTATTTTGGTAAGGCGTGTCAATTTTTTAATTTTAATTTAAAACACCAAAATTATCTCTTTAAATTATTTCTATAAATTATAGGGCTTCCAAACCTGCAAAGAATAAAAAATTTTAACAAAGTCTTGTGTCCTCCATTATTTGTCTAAATAGACTCATTAACTATTATGTTAAACTTTAAAGAAATTTTAAATTTAGGTAAAAAAACAAAAATAAATGAAAAAAGCAGTTTTTGTAAAAGTTGTTTGCTAATAAACTAAGTAATTTTTCTTGTTTTAGGAATTTGATCGCAGGTGCTTAACTATTTAACAATTAAAGGGATTATAGATTAAAAAATTCTTTTAAAATGCTTTTAAAAATATTTTAAATTCTTTTAAAACTTAAGAATATTGATAATAATTATAGAAATAATAATAATAATGATAAATAATGATAAGATAATGATGAAGAGGAATATTATTACTAACAATAACAATCAATATTAGATAATAGCAATAATAGTGATAATAACAACTATATAGTATAAGTAGTAAATATACTTAAGAAAAAATTAAAAAAAGCAATAATAATACTTATTAAGTTATAAATAAAAATAACTTTTTACTTATTAAGATAGAAGAATATTATTAATATCAATTCTAACAATAACAATAAAAATATGAGAATAAAAAGTTAATAAAAAAATTAGTAGCGATCAAGAGAGTAATAATAATAAAAGCATAACAACATACGACCTGGTTACCCTGGATACCAGGTTAAGTAAAGTTGTTTTATTTTGCTAAGCTGATTATTTAGCGAAATAAAACAATTTAATAATTTAAAAATCGAAAGTTAGCTGTTTTTAGGGTATTACCAATCCCTAATTTCTACAATTAATTTCTAATTTTTGATTTGGTATAGTACACACTTGCTTTTTCATCAACAGCCTACCAGTTCAATCCTAAACCGGTTGAGCGTTTACCAAGAAAGTCATTAATCGCGCATCATCATAGGTATTTTTTAATTTTTCAATATAGATTGTAGGTCATAGACTGATTGATTAAGCACATATATAGTATTAATCTGAAAGAATAATAACATTGTGCAAGTAGCTGTCAAAAGAATAATAACATTATTCTTCGGCTGATCAGTTTTACTAGAAATTGATGAATCAACCAATAAACCCATCATACAATTGAGAAACATTTGGTTTTCCAATGGGAAAATAGTAGAATCTAGAATATAAAGTCTTAACTTTTCATGAATTCAAAGTGTCATAGTTAATTTTAAAACTAATAGCAAGTTTAAAAATCTCTTAAAAATTTATTAGACACTAGACATTTTAACTTCTAAAATTCTATTTTTAGCATTAACGCCAGCCATGTAAAACATAATCAGTTTGTCGGGAGAGGTGGAACACTTTTGTGACCATTTTATTGGTAGATCACAGAAGGTTTGACAGAAGTTGAGTAGGAGCATAGAGAGATGGGAAAAAAAAGGGCATAAAAATTGTTGATATAATTAATGGATGTCCACTTACAGCACAAATGGCATACGCCACTTACACCACGGATGACTTACACCACTTACAACAATGGATATCCACTTATTCTTATCGACGCTAACTCAGTACTTAAGTAATACTTTGATACGCAAAAATGTTGGTTAATAACGGATGCAACTTTCGATTAGTATTTATGATTATTTGTACCTGTTCCTATGCTAAGCCACCAATACCTTTGGATATAAGAACATTGTATAGCAAAATATAGCATAAATATTAAATAAATAAGTAAAAATAATCAAAGATATTTTAGTTCATTTTTACAATGTTTTCTTCTATCTAAATCAGAAATACTCCAAGTTGTTTATTAATTTGTCTCTCAGACAAAACTTTTTGCAAACCTGGAAAATGGAAAGTTTAATTATACTATTTTAGCGCGCAAGTATCTTTACATACCTAAATCTTAAGAGCTATCAAAATACACTTTATTGACTGCTTGGCAAGTGATCAATCGACGGTGTGCATCTTTGGTACCCAAAACAGTAGGCGTTTTAGTATCTAAATTGTAATTAAGAGTTGCGGAACCAGAACACCAGGGATGTGGAGTCGTAAAAAAAAAAAAAAGTACCGACTCCAACTCCAATTGTTGAAATTTTCAGAGTACGATTCCGACTCCAACTCCGACTCCATAACAAAATTTTTGAAAAATTCTTTGAATACTTTAAAAAATATTACGCGATAATGAAAAAAAAATTTTTTTTTTGCTAAATATATGAAAAGTTCGTTGAAGGTTAAATATTTTGTTCATGCACGTGCAATACCGAGAAGTTTTACCATTGGAGTCGGAGTCGCAATTTTGTTTAGCGACTCCGACTCCGACTCCTACTCCGCTAAAAATGTCGCAACTCCGACTCCATAACCCTACTGGACACATAAAGTAAAATAAAATTTAGACCTAGGTGAAGAAGAATGTGAAAAAGAACAACTCTAAATAAATGACATCATTGAATAAAAAGTTTTATTGATTGTTTATATAGAACAATTTAAAAATATATTTTACCGGACACCCGGGTATCCGCCGTTTGTTCGACGGGTACCCGGACACGATTTTCGACAACCCTGTTTACGGCAAGTTAAATTTAATGAGAGTAACGGCGGTATATTCTAATAAACAGCCCTAAAATTTTAAGTAAATAATAAAGTATTTATGATATAAGTACAAAATCAAATGAAACTTTGTTAAATATTATGTTACATAATGACCTTTATGTTATGTTAAATTGTATTCAATAATGAGCTTTTTTAGTAAGCAAAATTACCCAACCTGATATAGCTTTTGATAATATAGCTTTTTTAATTAATTTTAATGTTTTATTATTTTATTATTATTAATGTTTATAAAAAAATTATTACCGTATCAATGTCTTCCATTTATTTAATTTCTTTTAATATTTTTGAAATTTTCTATGTGCATATATTTGTCAACTGAATCGTTCCATATCAAAACAACCGATTGCTAATTGCAATCATGTTTTATATACTTGATCCAATGAAATGTTATCGACTTAGTTATGTTTAATGATTTTTATCTTTGTATGCCCAAAGAAAAAAGACGTGTAAAATTGTGTATATACATTATTACATAAAATAACTGGGTGTGGGATGCGTCCTGATTTATATCGAGGTCTCCTTTATGTATTTACATGTTACAAATGAACATTACTTGTGAACAGAACAAATTATGAGTGCGTACCAATAACAATAATGTATTATTTTAGTATTAAATGTATTTTAAGTGGTAATGTAATGTAATAATAGTGTATTAAAACTATAATGCTATTAATATAAATCTTTATAAAGTTGCAAGTGTAAAGAAAAAATGATCAAAATGATGAAAAAATGATTTTTATGAAGTTTCCAACTTAAGTTCTAAAAAAATCACAAAATATAGCTTGTAAATAAGTAATTTTAAATTTATTTGAAAAATAAAAATATTTGGTTTTTTTAAATATTCAAATTTTTGGTTTCTTATAGATTCCAGATAAAAAATTTCTAAAATGCTATTTCAAACTTAAAAAAAAATTTAATATATTTAAAAACATTTATTTAACAGAGAATATTTACTATTTTGATGATTTAATTTAAACATAAGCTACTGCATTTTGAAATTTTTAGTTTAAAATATTTACAGCACACCCTAGCTTTTTCTGGGATTGAAGGCTGTTGATTATCTGAGTTTTCTTCCTTGACATCCACTAAGGTATATTCAGTTTTTTTATATTTAGATTTGATTTTGCAAGTAAAAATGTAAAATAGGAGATTGAAATTGACCTAAGCAATAATATTAGCCAAAATTAAAATAGTAATGAATCAGAAACTTAAGAGTTAAACATTGGTGTTTTAGGCTTTATCATTTTTTATAAGGTACTAAATAATGTTAAAATATAAAAATAGTTTTAAAGTTGCATGCTCTGTTTGTTTCGACATGAAGTGACTCAATTATAACTTTTGAAAAGTATAATTTGATACTTTTTGTTTTTGGCTTTGTTAACTTATACTAATTTTAATTAAAAAATTAGAAGTTTTGTCAGTTTTTTTGAAACTGCATTAACATGTAAATTATTTTTGATATAAATATATAAATTGTTAGCTCAATACTTTAGAGATGGCTCTTCCACAATTGCAGCAAGTTGATCAGGTAATGCAAAAGTAATTTACTAATATAGTTGTATAAAGTTTCCTACAATACATGTTTGTCAATAGTTAAAAATTTTTCTGTTTGTGTGTGTGTGTGTGTGTGTGTGTGTGTGTGTGTGTGTGCATGTTAACCTCCCTAAGGCTTATCAAATAACTTTTTTCATTACCTTCTCAAAATGTTAAAATAAATTTTAATAGATTTGTCTATAAATACAACAACAATATACATTAATAATTTGTTTAATTTTAATGGTAATTTCCAAAAGAAATAATAAATAAAAACTAAAAAGATATATCACTTTAACTAACAATGTGAAGTATGAAAAGCACATTGGGTTGAGGTCACGAATTATGTTAAAATTTATGACATGATCATAACTTTAATTATGACATGATCATAACATAATTATATACAATATAATACAACTGTGTTAGATATTGCAAAATATGTAACAATTAAAATAGACTTGTAATAGTGGAGGACTGCTGAAGTATCAACAAAATAGAAAAGTTTGATGACAAGTATCTTATGTCAAATATTAAATTTATATTATTGAAATTGATAATGTCAAAGCACACCTAACCTTTTCTCATTTTGAATGTACTCGATCAAAAAAATACTTTTTTAAAGAGTTAATAAAGGATCTCAAATAACAGCCAAAAAGGTATAATGGACTATCATAAGATCAAGATATGTACAGATCTCATTTATGCAGATCTTTCTATATTTCCTACTAAAGATATGCGGAAATATATAAAGGGAATGTTTTCAATATCAATGAAAAAAACAAAAACTTTTGTGATCATATTTACAGCTTTGATTTTAAGATAGTAAAAATAGGAATAGTGTATGCAAATATTCTTAATTAAATAAAATATAACACGCCCAGCTAACATATATTAGCTTATATTATCAAGAGATTGACCAGGTCACAATCACCAAGTTTATCATTCGCAGTTAATTAATCCTTAGAAAAGAAAATTTGATCCAAGAAACTATAACTGTATTTCTTTATTATAATTACTTTCGAGATGATTCTTAAAAATAATAATTACACAGCAATAGAGTGAAATTTAAATACAGTGAAATTTAAAAATTAATAGAATCCATCATTTGGACTCAAAAAGTTCCAATTAGGAAATTGCAATCAAAAACTGCAACTAACTCCTAGTATAGCTTAAAAATTTTTCAAGTCTTTATGAATTAAAGAAAGATAACCATCAACACTAAGATTACAAAATGAGACAGCTGAACTCAAGTTAGTCTTACAAACAGCAAGTAGTTCTGGCGAACTTTGCAAAAAATAAGACTCAACAGAAGACAAGTTACTTGAAGACCATAAATATTAGTGAATGATAGGTTTAGAGAACTTGGTGATGACGATGGGTTTTTGTGTTTTATAGTTTTTGGTACTATTTTGGTAAATTTTTTAAAGAACTTGACTCAAAGCATAGATAGAACTCATTAGACTATTTAATAGTCCAAAAAATTACCTCATTACTATTAATAAACCTAAGCCGTAACATAGGGCTCCAAAGTATGAACAGGGACACCATTTATGAACAACATGGCACTGTTTGTACTCTGATACTTTTCAGCTGTTGATGGAATCAGCTTCTCTTCTCTCGTTGCATAAAAACAGAGACACAAGCAAAACCCATGAGTTGAGTCAAGAAGATCCAGTGTTCAACATCCTAAATTAGAAACAATGTATTAAAAAAACATTTGCGCCAATCTAATAGATAAAGAAGGGGTGCGAGGCTGGTCAACAAATAAAATCTGTTTACCCCTTAAGTCTTTGCCTAGGAGGCCTTTTATAAGACAGTAGCCAGGGGCTTTTAACATCTGCCCAAGATGAGCATTTTTATCAAGACACCATCTCTTTACTCAACCAAGAGCTCCAAGGCGGTGTTTTAAGTCTGAGTTGACTTCTCCTAGCCTTTGCCTAAAAATGTTTATCCTACAAGGCAACAGGACATGAAGCAGGATGTACTGGGTTACAAGTTATCAGCAACAGAATTACCTGACCTAACATATATATATATATATATATATATATATATATATATATATATATATATATATATATATATATATATATATATATATATATATATATATATATGCATACACATAAATATAATATATAACAACACACACAATTATATATATATATATATATATATATATATATATATATATATATATATATATATATATATATATATATATATATATACATACATACATATATATAACACACACACAATATATATATATATATATATATATATATATATATATATATATATATATATATATATATATATATATATATATATATATATAAGCGTATTTTTATAAGCATTTGCTCACTTTTTTTGCTTACCTTAACACGTACGGCTTTTTTAGAAAAAGAAGAAGAAAAAAACCAAGAATGATGAATGAAACGATTGCTGCCCCATCCCAAACCCTCTGTCGATTTAGCAGCACTCTACTGTGAGTCAGGCTATTTGTCAGTCGATGTTTGTAATGAAGCCACCAGCAGCAGGCTATTTCAGTATGACGTCAGATTGCTTACCTTAGTACGTGATACTATTTGTATATATATATATATATATATATATATATATATATATATATATATATATATATATATATATATATATATATATATATATATGTATATATAAATGCATGTTTAGATAACATGTCTGATGTCACACTGGAATAGCCTGCTGCAGCATAGGACTGCTGCTACATCAACTCAGGGATGCTCTCTTTTCAATATTTTTCCTGATCAAATTGACTGAATCAATTTGATCAGAAATATCAAATGATCTTACTGACACTAAAGCTCATTATTTTTGTGTTTCTCAATCTTTTACTCAGATAATTAACTTTGTGATTTGTCTGACAATCCTAATTATTATCAGTTTATTATTATTTAATATTAACAGTTATCAGACAATCCTAATCACTTACCTTTAACCCTTGTTTTATGCTTTGTATCTAGCTTTAGCTTGTGTTTCTCTTTGATCTCCGTTGGGTTGTTCAGACCATGCAATAGTCTTTCTAAATCTTTTATCTTGCACTTTTTCTTCAGACAAATCCTATCATTGCATTACTTTCAGTAACATAAGGATGAATAGGATTCTTTGTGTATTTTTTTTTTTTTTTTTTTTGTAGTCCTTAGGCTCCTTACTCCCTGTTTCAATCTCTACACACCCAACTTATATTATGGTTGCTTGCAGCCCTATTGGTAGTGAATTAGTTAAAAAAAACAAAAAAACAGTTGATACATTGCAGCTAGGGCTGTTAATGGGTTGGATATAGATACTAACCTGTCTCGTTATTATGGACTCAAAACCCATTAGACCGGTTAACAAAATAGGTTGGGTATGGTATCTTATAATATAAAAGTTTAATTGTTTTTTTTATAATAAAAATCAAATAAAAGCTACGTTTTGTGAGGAAGACACAAAGGATGACATAGATTGTTTGTGATGTCCTAGATAAATAATCTATTGGATACTTATTATTGTTTTTTTTAAATGGCTAACTACTCTAGTTTTTAAGTATTTTCATTATTGAAATCTGACAAAAAAAAACAACTTAAATTACACTTTTCTTATCAATTTAATTTTTTTCTTTAATTTAACAGCTCCAGATTTTTTTCTGTTTCTGAAATTTTAAGTACACATGAACAAACCTGCAACTTTAGGACAATTTAAAAAAAACATCAGATTTGAAATCACAAACATATCATAAAAGTGTTCTGTTATAAAGATTGCAGTAAAGAATTTTTCAACACTAGTGGAGCCTAATTATTAGTCATAACACTAGTGGAGCCTAATTATTAGTCATAAATTTTTTTTTTAAATTATGAGAATCAAGTTTTCATTTAGTTTTATATAATGTACATATGTATATATAAATATATATATATATATATATATATATATATATATATATATATATATATATATATATATATTGACTATCTTACAGCTCGCTGCCACAAAGGAGTACTACATCGGAATGATTTTTATTTTTATTGAAAAAAGATATCATTTCGATCTAAAAAGTTGGGTTTTTGTAGTTTTTTAAAATACAAGAAAATTAAATTAGTTTCCTCAATTAAATTAATGATTGTTACATAAAGTTTACTTAATTTTGTCACTTTTAAACACAAAGAGTTGTTAGGAGTTGTTTTTTACCGCACACAGTAAGTTTAGATGTCAAACTATAAGAATATATATATACATATATATATATATATATATATATATATATATATATATATATATATATATATATATATATATATATATATATATGTGTGTATATATATATATATATATATATATATATATATATATATATATATATATATATATATATATATATATATATATTAGGCCTAAACAGGAATAGCGTGCGATCACATGTTGACCAAGCTTATAATATTTATTCTTCACAATTTGACCACAGCAGTTTTGATATTTTAACAATTTAAAAGCTATTTAAAAAATTATTTTATTGATATTTTCTAAAGAAATTAGTTTATACGAAGGTTTTAATAAAAATAAAAAAGTAATTATAAGGATTGTTTAAAATATACGTGTTTTGTGTAAAATAGCAAAATTTTATATTTTAAATATTTTATGTACAATAATAAATATCAAACTTTTAAGTAATTTAAAGTTTTATTTAAATTTTTATATAAAATTTGTTTATTCATTAAACAATCATTAGAAGTAATTTGTAAAAGTGTTTTTTATAACTTTGATAAAACGTTCTAAAAGATAATCTTTTAATCTTAAACGCAATTAAAGTTGTAACAATAAGTGTTTTTCTCTTTGAGTTTGAGTTTTTTAAGTTAAGTTTAGTACTTCTTTTTTTTTAAGAAATCGTTTTTTTTTTTAATTTTTTTTTAAATTATAAAAGAAAACAGTTCCTTGCAAAAAGAAATTGTTTTCTTTTTTTATATACGCTCGATATATATATATATATATATATATATATATATATATATATATATATATATATATATATATATATATATATATATATATATATATATATCAACCCTCAGAATTAAGGTCAGCATTCGGCAATGCTGACCTTAATTCTTAATTCAATGACCTAAATATCAACCTAAATGTGTTTGAGGTTGGCAAAAAATCTCCGACCTCATTTTATATGTTTTAAGACTTTTTTTTAAACTCTAGCAGTTTAAGGTCAGCAATTTATTGCCTACCTCATTTTTCCTAATTCTTAGGGCTGATATATACATATAAATGTATAATATTATTGTTGTCGTTATTATTATTTTAGTCTATTAATTATAGAGAAGATGTATATAAAAACAATTATGTATATAAAAAGTACCTTAAGCTACTTGAAAAATGTTTTAATAATTTTAATGTGAATATGAAATGTTTGTGTCATTTCTTTATATGGATAGTCGAGTTATAATTTTTTTTATGCATCTTTTGTTTTTTAAGTTGAAGACTTTTCTAACAACATACAATAAACTTGCAGAGACATGTTTTCTTGATTGCATACATGATTTTACTTCCAGAACAACAAGTTCAGCTGAGGTACGGCACAAGTTGTTTTGTATATGTTATAAAATTAGAATTTGTATACTTAAAAATTACTTAATTTTTGTGATCTTTACTGCTTCTGTACTACCATCAAAATTAAGCATTGTGTGTTAATATCTAGCTGCTTTGACAAGCTTGTTGACTTTGTACTGTTCTAAATTGAAAAGTAATTCAATCATCTTCGCAAAACTTTATTTGCTTGTAACACTTTTTGCATTTAATGGTTGATTGGATGAATGACTTTTTAAGATGTTTTAAAATTTCATTTTTTTTAAGGTCTGATGAAAAAAAGAAGTTCTTTGTATTACAGTTCTTAAATAAAATTTTCTAGAATTCTACATGTAACTGCAGTAATTGAAAATATATATATATATGTATATATATATATATATATATATATATATATATATATATATATATATATATATATATATATATATATATATATATATATATATATACACATAATTATTCACCTCTCCAAGGCCAAAAAGGCCACTACAGCCGAGGAGGCTACTTTTTGTAGTTACAACCCTCTCTCAACTCTAAAACTCCAAAACACAAACCTTGACGAACAAGGCCGCTGCGCGGAAAAACAAGTTGAGTACAGTACTACCAGGGATATGGTGGGGATTGAACTCAATAATTAAATTTCAATAAAAATGGCTGCGTATAAACTTTTTTGAAAAAATAGATATTTTTATTTTATTTTAATTTATATTATTCGATATTTTGCTGATCTATTGTGATCTGAGTCATCAGGTATGATAAACAAAAATCGTTACAAAGATAATCGTTACAAAAAAAATTGATAATGTCACAACAAAAACTTGGGGGCCATTTTTTATTAGATTAGCTGGCGTCAACATTTAATCCTATTTTGTATTTGCTCATACTTTTTTTAATGTTATCTTTTTAACGGTTCATTTTTATTGTAATTATTATCTTTGTAACAATTTTTATTTATTATACGCTAATCACAATAGATCAGCGAAGTATTGAATAATATATATTAAAATATATATATATATATATATATATATATATATATATATATATATATATATATATATATATATATATATATATATATATATATATATTAGTGATGTACCTATGGGCATCAGCCACTTTTTGCACAATTGATATCGGCATCAGCCTTTTTTTTATTAATATACCTATTTTCCAACCAATAGCATTTTAATATTTTTATCCTGCATTATGATAATAATTAAATAATAGATAAACTAAACTTTATGCATTACTTAGAATTTTTTTGAGAAGTTGTTTATTTTGACTTTGTTTACAGGCAGTATTGTTTATTCTTAAAATGATGTTTATAAGCTTTAATTCAATAGTTGGATGTACTTATACTTTTATTACCATAATGTTGTTTTTAGCAGGGGTGTGGAGTCGTAAAAAAAAAGTAACGACTCTGACTCCGACTCCAGTTGTTTAAATTTTTTGAGTACAACTCCGACTCCGACTCCAGTTGTTTAAATTTTTTGAGTACAACTCCGACTACAACTCCAAAGCAAAATTTTTGAAAAATTCTTTGAATTCTTTAAAAAATATTATGCAATAAAATAAAAAAATTTTTTTTGACAAATTTATGAAACATTTTTTGAGGTTTAGTATGAACACAAGGTTAATTGCATGTTTTGTACATGCACGTTTAATACCAAATAGTTTTACTATAGGAGTTGTAGTCGCGATTTCGTTTAGCGACTCCGACTCTAAAAATGTTGCAATTCCGACTCCACAGCCCTGGTTTTTAGAATAATTTTATTTTGTGTTGTTCTATTGTTAAACTTAAAAGTAACCTATTTAAGCATTGTTATCTATATGTGTTCAAGTATAGCCTACTATATTTCTATATTTTTATTTATTTATTTTTATTTCAATTCACCTCCCCAAGGCCATGAAGGCCATTCCAGTTAAAGAGGCTGCTTTAGTTATGGTTTTAACCATAAAACCATAACTAAACCATAACACACACACGTCAGGCTCGGACAGGAATGCCGTGCGATCGCACTCTGTAACTGACCACGCTAATATTTTTATTTCTTTACAATTTGACCACGGCTATTTTGATGTTTTAACTATTTGAATACAATAAAAAAAGTGTTACGTTATAAATATCTTTTAATCGTTGATCTTTTCTAAAGTAATTTATTTTACGAAAAGGCTTTAAATAAAACCATAAAATTAATTATAGTTATTGTTTACATAAACGCTGGTGTAAATTAATAAAAAATGGTACATATTTTTTATGATAAATTTAAACGTTTGAAACTATTTTTTTATGTCTTCCCAAAAGATTTTTAAACCATTATTTTAAGAAAGAATTTTCTTAAGTTACTTTAATTTGTGAATAAATTTAAAAGCCTTTGACTACTAGCTTTTACACATTTTATGTGAATTACTCAAGAATATAAAATAACTTTATTTACTTATAAGCATGTATTTTGTTGATTAATGAAAAAGTTTTAAAGCATTTTGCAATGTTTATATGATTAATTTCTTTAAACTTACGATTAATTTGATTAAATTTACGATTTTTAAAATGTTTTAAATAAACATTTTATTTTTTGTAAACATTTTTTTGTTTGTTTGTTTAGGAATGAATGAGTTTAAATCATTTATAATAATTTTTAAATTCGTTGCGCAAAGCGCTTATTGATAAAGTTGTAAAGCTCAAATTAAAATTAAATTAAAATGCTTGTTGGCAGTTTATTTTATTTAAATTGCAAGCGCATTTTATTTATTTAATTTTCTATTTTTACGAATAAAAAAGTTGAAATCCTTTTTTTTAATAAGACATTAATTAGAGCATGAATTTAGTAAAAATTACTATTTTAAAAAGACTACGTTATACTTGAAAAAAAATTTTTTTTTTTTGCAACTTTTTTGTAAAAATAAATGTTTATATAATTTAAAAGAATTATATACAACACTTTTTAATAAATTTACTAAAATTTGTTTATTTATTAAACCAATCATTTGTAGTAATTTATTAGTTAATTTAAAAACGTTTTGCGTAACTTAAATACCGCTTAAAAAGATAACGTTTATTTCATACGTAATTAAAAACGTAACAAAAAGTTTCGCTTCGAGTTTAAGTTTTTATTTTCATTTTAGTGCTTTTATAATTTCTTTTTCGTTATGAATTTATTTTTCGTTAGTTTTTTTTTAAATTTTTTTCCTAGTTTAAGTTTAGCTTAGCGTTTCTACATTCAGAGCATTTCTGAAATTTTTAAATCATCAAAACATATAAACAATCGTGGTCAAGTTGTCAAAAAATAAAATCATTTGCATGGTCAGCAATAGCGCTCGATCGCACGCTATTCCTGCCCAAGCCTGCACGTGTGTGAGTGTTCTACTATTCCTGATGTTTCCCAGTTGGCTTTTGCAACATTATTTTTATGTTCTTGAATTCGTGTGGAAGTCTTTTTTCTTGTTTCACCAATATAACATGCACCACATGTGCAATTAAGTTGGTACACTCCTGGATGGCTATTCGGAGGCAGTTTAGACTTGTTACGGCAAAGTATATTGATTAAGGGATTACCAAAATGGAAGACTGTTTTAACCCCGACTTTACGAAATTCTCTTTTAAGAACAAGGCTTAACTTTAGTACCCATGGTAAAATAACTAGATTTTTTGGATCAAATTTTTGAGAACAAGATGGACTTGTAGACTTCAGTAAAAAAATTAATAAGAAAATTAATTTCATCCTGAATGTTATGTTCTGAACAAATTTTGTATGCTATAGCTAAAAAACTTTTTAAAATACCAACAGCGATATTCGGTGAAATAGATGATTTCAGTTTTATAAGTACATTTGTAATTGCATCTTTACAGTGTATAGAAAACTCATATTTAAGAAGAGAGTGATATGTTGAAATACAAACATCTAAAAAATTTAATTGGTGTTGAGCATTTTCGTATTTGCATGTATATTGGATAGATTTATCTTGTGAATTTAAAAGTGTTAAAAAAGAATTTGCGTCATCAATATTAGTAAATCGAGCATGGCTATCATCAATGTAACGTTTATAAGTATTTGGCGCAATATTGACATTTAGAGCCTGTTGAATAGCATTTGATTCAATAAGTTGTAGATATGCTTCTGACAAGACGACCATTATTGATAGACCTATTGGACCAGAGTTTTTTAAAATATATATTTTTGTGTTCCCATAAAAACACTTACTAATGCAGAGATCAATTAGTTTATGAATATCTACTAAAGATAACTTAGTTCATTGTATTAGATCATCTCTATTTTTGTTTAGCATATTAATAATTGTAATAGTTGTTTTATCAAGTGGTACTGATGGGTATAAATTAATAACATCAAATAACTATATGAGCCAAAATATCCCTTATAATAAAAAAAAGAAAAAAGAAAAAAAAAAGAAAAAAAAAGAAAAAGAAATAAATAGTACGATACCGTATATGTTTTAATGCTTATAATTACACATACTATTAAAGGTATCACTTAAATTTTATATATATATATATATATATATATATATATATATATATATATATATATATATATATATATATTTGTATAGAATGAATCTTTTCTTGTTAGTGAGTTTTTTGTGACTTTTTTTTTTTTTTTTTTTTTTTTTTTTTTTTTTTTTTGTAGAACACATGTGCTATCAACTGTACAGAAAAATTTTTAAAGATGGCTCAAAGAATTGGTATTCGTTTTCAAGAAGTGCAGGAACTAAACATATCTGGTGGAGCAAAATAAAAGATATCAATACATAATATTATAAGAAATTGTTTTGTATTGTATCTTGATTTTATATATATATTTTTAAACCTTAATTTTATTGGTTTTTATATACCAAAATGTGTCATTTTTTGTCAAAGCCCATATATATATATATAAATATATATATATATATATATATATATATATATATATATATATATATATATATATATATATATATATATATATATGTATATATATATATATATATATATATATATATATATATATATATATATATATATATATATATATATATATATATATATATATATATATATATATATGTATATATATATATATATATATATATATATATATATATATATATATATATATATATATATATATATATATATATATATTTATATATATATATATATATATTTATATATATATATATATATATATATATATATATATATATATATATATATATATATATATATATATGTTTATATATATATATATATATATATATATATATATATATATATATATATATATATATATATATATATATATATATATACACACACACATATAATCATAAATCTCGTATCTGTTTTTTCAAATCTGGACCAATAAATTTTTTCTTAAGGATTTATGGTTTAAAACACAGTTTATTATCAGTAAAAAAATATTATTTTTTTTAGTTATTTTCTTTTTTTGTTTTAAGATTTTAGTTTATGCGGTTCCTGTGTTTATAAACTCTTGATAGTTTAAATTCAGTCTGTTACTGTTTGCAAATGACTCTTGTTTATATAAATCTTTTGTCTAATTTTAGTATGTCAGAATATTGTTATTTAGTATAATATGGCAGAGTACAAGCAAGTGAAAATCGGAAAACTTAAACTAAAAGGTTTTTCTAATAAAAAGAAAAAAAATTCAAAAAGAAAATGTCAGGATGGTAGTGAAAGCAGTGTGTCATCAGAAATTGTTCCAAACGATGATGCTCATCTTCATGGTGGATGGTGGCCAATAACAAGTTTTGATAAATTGACAGGTGGAAATGTTGCTATACAGTGCTATACGAGTGCTAATTTATTTGCTGTTGACAATGGTACATTAAGATTGGGATCACTTCATGGTGGTTCTGATGATGGTCCTGTACAAGAAGAGATTTTTACAATGATTCGTTTATCAGATAATAAAGTGGGATTTAAATCTGGGTACGGTGAGTTATTGTTTGTAAGTGTGTGCATGCTTATATTTTATTTGTGACAATGACCAAGACATTTTTAACACTACAAGGAAAATCATCTAATGAGCAGGTGCACACAGAAATATTGAAGAGCTTGTCCTTTTTTCATAATGATACTCCTTAATGGAAACAATTCTCCTTATGATAAAAAAAAAACCTTAAATTTAGCCATATTTTATTGGCTTCTCAGAAGATTAGTGCTAAGTTTGATTTGCAGTTGCTTTTCAACAAAAAGTTTATTAGTTACTGTATAAATTTAAAATGAGATATTTTAAATCGAGGCTACTAGGCAGAGAATAAGATATTTAAAAAACTTAAGTTAAAAATAATCTCGGAACACCTAACAAAATTACTCCTAAATTAAGACTTGCATGCAAGTCTTAATTTAGGGCTAAATTAAGAATACATATGCTCTTTTTTACAGAAAACGTGACATTTCGCAAAACTAAAACAAACAAAATTGTGAAAAAATCTTTCGATTAATATCGAAAAATTAATTTCGATTAATATCGAAGCCTAAAAATGGAAACTTGTGTTGGTAAAATAAGTTTAAAAGCAATTTGAATTTCTATCTTTCAAATTTAGAATTTAGAATTTAGCAGCCTTGTAAAAAATAGTACATGTAATGTTAAGAAATATTTAAACATTTCTAAGAATAAAGAAATTGTAACTATTGAAATAATTAATAATAATTAAAAATATATGATTAGAAGAGTTTTAGTTGAATTTACATCCTAGACAAATTGTTCACTTGTGATGAATTGCGCTGCTAAAAGTCATCTTAAGAATAATATCTAAGGACTTGGTACTATATTTAGAATTTTGTTTTCCCTTGTGTTTAAATGAATTTAAAAAAAATAAATACTAAAAGTACCTTTGGAAGAGGGTTGGGGTGGAGGGGTGAGCATCCAAAAGTTATCTACTTTGTTCTAAAATCTATTTTAAAACCTATTTCATTCATTCTTTTTTAAAAATATTTTTTATTACTTTAAATTTCATCCATTCCAACTGAATTTGTTTATTGCTAGAATTTTCATTCATTATTAATAATTTATTTTATATAGGAACAGTTTTTTAAGTGTCACAGCATTTTTTTATCAAAGTTTTCAAATATTTTGATGCTTGAGTGTGTTAAAAGCTTGAAACAAGTTTATTAAAATTTTTTATCTTAATAGTCATAAATTTATAAAGTTATTATGTTTAATTTTAATTTTTTTTTTTTTTTTATTAAAGCTTAAATATTTTTTGATAAATTTTATTTTATACGCCATTGTAAAATTCAGGTAAGTATATCTCTGTCAATGCACGTGGTGATGTACTAGCTCGTTCCGACGCTGTTGGACCTCAAGAACAGTTAGAAGTAGTGATTGAAAATGGTAAAGTTGCGTTGCAAGGACACAATGGATATTTTCTCACGTTTACTGATGATGGTGAGGTTAAGTCTTTAAGTAGAGTCGCCAAAGAAAAAGAAATTATTTTTCTTCGAACCAATGCATCCAGAAAGTAATTTATCTTTTTTACTAAAATGAAAATTTCTTTTAAATAAAGCCTATTTATTAACTTATTTTTATTTTTTGCTTTTATTTTTGATTTTACCTTTTTAAGCTATTTTGTTTTAAAATTTTTCTTTCTTCTTTGTTCATGTTTATGATAACTGTATTTTAGTAAGAAAAAGAAATTAGCTGAGGATGAAATCGGTGATGTTAGAAAATGTGAAGTCAGCTATGTGAAACAGTTTCAAAGTTTTGGAGATCACAAAGTAAAGTTACACCAAGGTCCAAAATCTAGTCTTGAAAAAGCTCGAAATGTTGGAAAGTTGCATGAAGCAATGCTTGATCGCAGAGAAAAAATGAAATCCGATCGTTATTGCAAATAATTTTTGACATTTGTTTCAGTACTTTACACAATTATTAAACTTCTGTATTTATTATTCAGGGACCAGGGGCCTGATTTTCTAGTTATAATGGAAATTTATAGTATATAAAATATTAATGTTAAAGCCGAATTGAAACATCCACATTTTTTTAAATTATGATCTTTACAGTCATTATATAAAAAAAATAACTTATAAATGAAGATTTTGTTAAAAAGTAAAGAATACGGAAACACGAAGAAGACAATGAGGTATCGCTAAAACTAATTGTTCGCTGCAAAAGATCTTACATGTGCTTATGCGATGCATGAAGTTTAACCCGTTGTAATACCTGATTTAGATTTTTGAATGATTGATTTTTATGAATGCTGCGCATAGTTTTCCAAAATATCATGTCTCGTGTCCATTTTAACAATCTTATTTGTCGAAATCGTAATTATTTTACTTTTTATAACTTCTTCTAGAATGCATCATTACGATGTTTCAATTTTTTTTTAAATTATACTGCGATCAATAGTTTTTATTTGATGCGTCATAAAAGCTTTCTTAGCCGTTAATTTTTCGAGTGCATATATTAAAAGTTGTAATAGTTATATGTAATACAAGACTAAGATAATTTAAAAAATCTGATGGAAAATCGTGTAGATCTTGTCATCGAAACCATATATAACACAACCACTAAACTTATTATCTGATGGAAGAGCGTGTAGATCTTGACGTCAGGACCATATTTAATGTTAAAGCTCATGCAATACTTGCCACTAAAAAATAAAAAAAAGCACCAAAGTTAAATACCATTATAAAAGATTTTAGTTTAATAATATTTAATGCTAAAAATAAAAAAATACGCTATCCAATAAATTCTTTTAGTCATTTATAAAAAAGGGTAATCATATTGACAAATTAAAATTAGGGAATTTTATTCCACATATATGATGCTCGGATGGGAATACAAAACTGTCTGAATTTTTTGACAAACAGGTTCATTTAGTTTCCCAAGAAATATCTTTAGAATTGATTTAATTGTATAAGTGAGTAATAAATTTGCATTACATGGTTTTGTATAAATAATTTCTGGTGTTAAATAAAGTTGCAACATTTTTAGCAAATTTAGAGCTAATATAATCGATATATGGTTTTTATGTTGCATTTTAAGTTTTATGGATGATTCAATTTTGATTTTAACTTCGTCTTTAAATAGTTTAGGTAAAATTTTGGACAATTAACGAGATATACTTTAATTCTTCGATGCTATCGATGCTGTTAGTGTCATTTAATATAAATAAAAAAGGTTTTTAAAATCAAACCTTGTGGAACACCATATTTTATTTTAATCAATTCATTTTTTAGCCTTTTTTTTTTTTTAAATTTGAATTTGCTTGTTGTGCTTGTTAGTTCTAAAACCTAAAATAATGTCTTCCACTAAAAAATACTCGCCTAGTGCAAATGCCGCTACTCCGACGAATATATAAACATATCTTTAACAATCGAAATTTTAGACCTTGGTAGAATAAATAAGAGGAGGAATTAAAAAAAAAAATTTGCTGCACAAAAAGTGACTTTTTTTTGTTTTTTCCACTCTTTTCAACTGTATTTTGTCGGTAAAATGTCTCTCTTACTCGAACTTGATTAAAAAAAGAAAAAAAAAAATTATATAGTCCTAATTTTCAATTTAATATTGATAATGAGTTATCCATTTTTGTATGAAACGTTGCTTTCAATTTGTTAAGTAACTTTTTAAATATCGAATACTACAGCATAAAAAATAATTTATTAAGTATTATTTTAATAAATTATTTTTTATGCTGTAGTATTCGATATTTTGAAGCAACGTATTATGATTGATAATATCAAAGGGTTTAGAAAGGTCTACAAAAATACTTACTAAATACGTTTTTCACACCCTAAAGGGTGTAACAAAATGATTCACTGCATTATAAAATTAACATTCTTTGTCATTTATGATTGATTGCAAATGATATGCGTTAACAATCTAAACTATGCCTAATAAATAATGCTTAATAATCTATTTTATAAATTAAATAAAAATTAAAGTGTACTATCCGGAATAAGACAAATTTACTCTTTAGAGAAAGACGAGGTAAAATGACAAACGTTTTGAAAAATTTTTGCAAAACTGACAGTTTGGATCACTAATATTTTGTCAGTATGTTTTTATATAATGATTCAATGTCTACATAAATTATCAAATTTATTTTTAATCATAGTTTTTTATCGCAAAGTTTGCAAATATCAAACTTTGCGATAAAAAACTAAAATGTAAAGTTCATAAACTTGTAACTTGGTCATGTAATCAGGGCAAGATGATTTATTATGCGTTTTCTGTCTCGATCTTTATAAAATTAAGGAGACCACCAACTGCTTTAACTAAAAGTATCGCAAAATAAAAACGCGTTGCCAAAAAACACTCCTCAAAAAGTAGAAATTTATTAGAAATGAGTTTTTGCAGCCATCAATGTAGTACTATAAGGGTTAGTTTAAAATGGTTCTCACTCTGAAACTTAAATCAATAATGTACTTATTTTGATCAAACTTTTAAAGCGCAGTTTTCCATACTTATCGTAAGTGTTTTACACTTATCGTATATATTGTTGACACTTATCGTATATCTTAAAATCTGCTTTAGTGACTGGTTTATAACGCGCTCGCGGTTTCAAATGAAAATTTAATGCATTAGTAACATTTTATTAATCGTTTTTAGGTATATAAATTAAAAAAAAAAGACTATTAAATAAACATTAATTATATAATAATGAAAATATTATTTTGAATTAAAACTAGAGATTTTTAAAGCATTTCCATTACTTTCAAAACTTTTTCTTTTGCGACTTTTTCTTTTTCAAAATTTTCATGTTTTTTCTTTCTTTTTTAGTTTTTTCATTTAATAACTTTTTCTCCATAGCCATTTGTTTCTTTCTTAATCTTTCTTCCTCTATTTTTTACTTTTTATCTCTAGCTAATTGTCTCTTTTTTAATTTTTTAACATTTAATTGTGACTTTTCTTGCAATTTTGTTCTTTGAATTTGCTGTCACATTTTAAATGTTACAACAGATGGTAAACGTTCTATTTTGCGCTTGGACGTTTGGACTGGTTGTTTTGGGCATATTAAAACACTTTTAATTGGATTTATGATTTCGGCTGCTATTTTTAAACTAGAACAAGCTGGTTTTGGTTCTATTAACGCTGCAATATTGCAATCAGGCATTTCCATACCGGTTTTAACTTGCACATTTTCTAAATTACAAGTTGTTGATAGATTTTTATTACCCTGTTGTATTTCATCAGGTAAAATTGTGGTCTTATATGTTTCAGATGAGGGTCTTTTCCAAAAATGATACAGCTCGAGTTATTCAAGATCACCTTTCCAACCTAAATGTTCGTCAGCTATTTTAAACTGCTCTAAAATACTTGGATCAATGCAGTTTTCTATAAAGTTTATGGGAGAGGATGCTGATAAAGTCACACTTGATTGATTCTCTTCTAAATAAGGAGTCGGAGCCACAGTTGACTCAGATAATCTTTGAACAATTTTTGTGTAGTCCACACTATTAGCATCAAATCGAAATACTCCGGTATTTTTAAAAGCACTTTTAACATTATTTGCCATAGAACGATCAATTATAAATGAATTTAATGCTTCTGGTACATTTTCATTGTGTATTTCTTGTCCTTCATGGTCAATGCACGATTGTCGGCAAAAAGATTTCCACTTTGCTTTCATTGGGCCAAAAACTGACACATCGAGGGGCTGCAATATATGTGTTGCATTTGGGAACAAAGCAACAAAAATTATTCCAATTTTAGAGCAAAACTCACTAAGTTTGATAGAAAAATGTGACGCATGACCATCAAAAAAAAAAATACATGGCAAAGGAATTTCGTCTTTTATCAAAATTGGATGAAAAATTTTTGTAATATACTCAAAACAACATCCTGCGGTCATGCAACCATTTTCACTTTTTCCAATAATCTATCTTGATGGAGAGTATTTATAATTCAGTATTTATAATTCTATTTGGAAGACGAACATATATAAAAATTGTTAATGATGGAGCAAAGGTTCCGCTTGCATTTACTGCAAATAAAGTGGTGATGCTTTTTTTATTACTTCGAGCACTTTCTTCTTATGTATTTTTTCCTCGTTTACCAATTAATAAATTAGTTTTTGGTGACAACTGAAAAACACTCTCATCCATATTGTAAACGCGCATTTAAATAATTTCATTCAATATTGAGCGTTTTCTCCTAAAAGCTTTGCAATTTCAGTAAACCAATCTCTTATGGCTTTTTAAGTTATTCCTCCTCCAGCTCGGTTTAAGTATTCACCTCGTTTTTGCTGTTCGTGACGGCGAAGAAATGCATAAAACCAACCTTTTGCAGGACGGCTGTTAGTAAATTGTGTTTTTATATTGTTGGAATTCAAGTATTTTTGAACACTATCTAATAGCTGTCCTACAGACATGGCAAATCCCATTCTGGTGCATCTAATTTATTTTCAATGTGTTCACCTAGTACTGATTCATAACCGCAGTGTTGTATCTTCAGAGAAGTTTTTCCAGATATTTTATCACGAAACGTCTGATAAGGAATTCTAAACGTCTTGCTTGCTTTGTACACAACCATACCTTTTTTAACAGCATCAATAGCATCTCTTAATTGGCTATCTGTATAATAAAGCCTTCGTTTTGAGCTACAAACTTTTGTCTTATATTTTTGTCTTACGATTGTAAAAGAATCTAAGTGAAATAATTTTTTTTTAATGTAAAAAGAACCAAGTTGATTATTTATTGGACATACGATATGTATGGAATGACATTTTTACGATATGTATGGAATGACATTTTTTTCGACTTCGATTTAGTCGAAGTCGAAAACAACACTAATAATATCATAATAACACAATTAGAGTTGAGCTTTTACGGTAAAAACAGTGAACCCAGAAAAAATTTAACGTACCATAACTTTCACTGTGGTCACGGTAGTTTAGAAAGTATTTAATTAAGCATGCAAAAAACAAAAACACAAAAACAAAAAAATTAAAACGCACCGATTTAAAAACAAAATTTAATATTCTTCTTAATAAAAATAAGCTTTTAGATTTTTTTTTTAACAAATATATATATATATATATATATATATATATATATATATATATATATATATATATATATATATATATATATATATATATATATATATATATATATATATATATATATATATATATATATATATATATATATATTATATATATATATATATATATATATATATATATATATATTAGGATGTTTCGAAAAAACCAAAGTTCAAAAATATTTCCGGCTGTTTTCTGGTGATAGGTAGCGTTAAAACTCTCTATTTGTAATTTCAGCCAATAATGTAAACCCTAACCTTTGTTCCAAGTCCCGCAAAAATATTTATATTTTGGTTTTTTCAAAGATTTTAAATTGTTTTTATTCTGTAACTTTTTGTAAGTAAACAAACAAGTAAACTCAGTTTAAACTTTTATTTTACGCATATGTTCAGAAAAAAATAGTATTTACAATATCATCTTTTTTAGAATATTATCTTTTTGTTTTGTTATAGTTAAAGCAGGGCCGACGACACGGGTTTCGAAGTGAGGGGGAGGGGCGCACCTTTTATTAACTAGTGGTAAACGTCGCAGAGTGACCAGACACATTTGGGTAACTATAAGCCAGGTAAATAGGCTGTTTTGGATAAATATAAAACTTAGTCGAGAGGTATTAGACAAATGTATAATTACATCTTCATAAAAATAGTTCTTACATAGTAATCTTTAGAACGATTCAGCCTATACTATATCAGTGTAAAATCGCGTCCATATTATAGTGCTGTCATATATACAACGTTTTAAAGTTTTTCGGTGATTTTTTCTGAAGATGTTAGTTGTTTCACTAAATACATATAAATTATTGTTTTGAGTTAGGTGCTCTGCAAATATTCCTGGTTTTGGTGGTGCTTTTGTAAATAACTCATCAATTTTAAATTTTTTTATAGTATTTATGATATCTTCCATAGAAAAAAAATAGACATTAAAAATAGTCTCATTTTTAACAGCTTTATGAAAAGTTTCATAAAGCTGTATGGCATCAGTTTTATGGCATCAGTTTTAAATATTCTCTGGATTATTTTTTGTATTGTTATTTTTTTAACAGTCCCACCAATAGCATCTACCTTTCCCATGTGAAGCAGCAAAAAAGTTCCAGAATAATTTTAAATCATGCTGTTCTTCCAACCAGAGAATTGCTGATGCAATAAAACGATTTTCAAGTTAATTACTTGGCCTGTCTGTCCAAACCTAAAGTATTTTACCACTTGATTGAATATGGTTAGATAATAAATTCTGAACAAATACAAGAATAGATTTTTTTGAATGGTTTAATTAATTTGAAACTATGACAGCTGATAAGCATAAATTTTGGTGCCAAAATACAGCTGTAAACACAGTAATTTTCTTCTTGTGCTAATGTGCTAACTGCATTTTATCTTTCCACAAAGCCCTAATTCAATGACAAAGATGGTAATTTTTTGCAACTTTCATAAAAATTAAAAAATTGCGGACGTTTTGGACCAAATTTCGTATTTCTTAAAATAAAGGTATGGGAATTTTCAGCAAAAAATAAAAAAATAAAAAATCGCCGATATATATATATATATATATATATATATATATATATATATATATATATATATATATATATATATATATATATATATATACATATATATATATATATATATATATATATATATATATATATGTATATATATATATATATATATATATATATATATATATATATATATATATATATATATATATATATATATATATAGGGTGTGTGTGTGTATGTGTTGGAGGGGAGGGGGCTTGACGAATATAGTTCAGTAGTTGATTACTTAACACAGTTCAGTCGGGTGAATTATAGTTTTCTGGACCCTTATTTTTTTTTACTTTTGGAGGATTCATTCTTCCCCCCCCCCCTTTATTTTTTTCACACAAGCTTCGTTCCCCCCCCCCCCCTCCTTCTCATCCCCTTCATTTAGCCTCTATTTACAATATCAGCGTTTTTGCTTTTATCACTTTTAACCTTGTCTTATGTGGAAAGCTTAACCCTAATTAGTGCAACCCAGTGTAAGTTTCAATATACTATTATACTTATGATACATCGATTTTTTTTTTGTGCATTTACCGTTTTTAACGTTTTTACCGAAAAAGCTCAACCCTAAAAACAATAGGCGTTTTCTTAAGGCCGAAAGTAAATATTTTGCCGAATGAATAAAATAACCATATATATAACATTGAATATGAGCATCCATTATGAATGTAAGCACGTTTTTTTTATATTTTATTCTGTAAAATACATACTTCTAGTCTCAAGGGGACGCCCTTAATGTTTTAATTGATGTTTTTCATTACACCCCGGGTATTAGAGAGTAGACACTATTTATAGTTTCCGCAGCATACTAATCAAAATCATGGTGAGTCTTTAGCTATTTTTATGACATGCATATTTAATTTTAGTTAAGAAAGTCAAAAGTTTCTGAATTTTTTTTTTTACCTTTATATTTTTATTTATTTTAACAACTACACGCAATTTTTGTAAATGCCGATAATAATCATGTCACTTTTATTTGTATTATGTCAACGTTTTTGCACACTTTATCTTATTAATTCCCATTTTCAACTATACGGATCATGGACAATAATGTCTTGGTAAAGTTTTAAACTAATTGTTTCCTCAATTTTTGATAATGACCTCTGATAGACTTACCTAATATTTTTGGTACGTGAGGCCAATTAATAATGTCAAGTTTTTTCATGACTTAATTCATTTTAATAAAATAGCTTTTTTCCCGTCTATTTAGTAGATATTATTTTTTGCTTAGCTTTTTGGTGAACTTTTCTGATTACGTTTGTCTTTAAATATAAGTTCTATATTTGAAAAGTGTATTCCAAGTGCAGCCAAACGATTGATGTATTGTAAACTTTGGTCCTAGAAGTGAGTTTGGCCCAAGCTGAATTTTTTTTGTTTCAAAATGGTTTATATTAAGTGCCCTTTGACTTGGTTGCTTAACTTGGCTGGTTAACTTATTGTAGCAAATCTCGGGAAATGTATTAATTATTTTGTCTAACTTGTTAATAATTTATAATTCTTTGTGAAATTCATATAAATAGCACTTTCGTATAAACATTTTTTTGGATGATCAAAATTTTATAATTTTTTTCTAACTGGGGCTCAAAAAAATGGGTGGGCATTTTAAACACCCCCTTTAGTAAGTCCATATAAAACAAGTCATGTTTTACACAAAACATTTATTGAAAACCATGCTCTAACCCTGAACCCAACAATAAAGTTTATTTATTAGGATTAGGGTTTGGTTAGGGTATGGTTTTTAACGATATTCATTTTGTATAAGACTTTTTTATAGACTTACTACACATCCACCAAAAAATAAAGTGACTTAAGCCAAGGCTAATGTCACTAAGTGCTGGAAAAAAACTGTTATGAAATAATTTAAATGATTATTTGTTAGTATTAGGGTAATTTATAAGTTGTAATGATAAAAATTAGAATTAGTACTATTAAATCAGTATATTTATGGTATTGCTTCAGTTCTTATTTTATGTCTAGAAAAAAAAAAAATATATATATATATATATATATATATACAAAAATTATAAAGCAAATCATGTAAGCAGAAAGCCTGTTATCTGTATTTTAGAACAACTACATCATAATGCATTAAAAATTTTTTAAATGGTTTATTAACTTAATTATCTCAAAAAGCATAATGCCATTATTTATATCTACAGAAAAAAATATTTTAAGCCTTATGCAAAAATTCAGACAAAATTATACCTTGGTGACTTAAGTTTTTTATACCTTTTATATAAACTTTGTCACATAATTTTTTTAAAACCTACTTTTTAAAAATTTATGTTTTTTTTACTCAAACATTGCTGTTTTTTATTGAAACTGTGCATTTTTTAGTCCCTTTTTGTTGGGATAGGCGTTTTTACTAGGAATAAAGTCACCTCAATACACGAGGTGACTTTAGCCCACCATTTAAACGCTCCAAAAAATTACTTCAAGTGAATAATTTTCAATTGTGAGCCCAGCTGACAGTGTACTGTGTAATAAAATCTTAAATTTCTTAAAATATATATTTATTAAGAAAAGTTTAACCTCTTATTTAAGTGATCAATCATTTAAAAATTCACTTATTTATAATTTTAATTATTTAAAATATTTACATAAATCTTATTACAATATAAAATGATTATAATAATAATTTATAACCATTTAAAATGGTTTAAGCAATGTAATATTACGACAATGTAAAACAGTTATTTTATAGAAACTATATATGATAATTTATTTGTTAATAATTTCTTCAGTATAATAAAAATTTACAATAAAAAGGTAAATTTAACTAAAAAGGGATAATACCTAATGAAAGGTCTCTTCCTTATTCCCTAATTTTAATATATATATATATATATATATATATATATATATATATATATATATATATATATATATATATATATATATATATATATAATAAATTTTTTATGAAATAATTGTTTTATATTGTCAAATGCTGTTGCATTAGTTTGAGTGTTTTATTTTAGTTCTTATAAAAATATAATGATTGCTTAATTACAGGCTGAACCTTTAAGAGTTTGTGTAACTGGTGCAGCAGGGCAAATTGCTTATTCACTTCTCTACTCGCTTGCTAATGGAGATGTTTTTGGTAAAACACAGGTATGAATTATACTTTATAATGTTTAAACGATTATTAATACAGTTTAAAGTTATATATGTATAGATAAACAGATATTTAAGTTTTAAACATCAGTAAAAAAAAGTTCTCTCAATACTAATATTTTTTTGTTTTTTAAAAATTTTTAATACTAACATCTTCAACTTTAAATACAAATATATCTATAGATCGTATTAATGCTTTTTTTTTTTTTCTATATTTAATTTTAAAAAATACAAAATATTCTATCCAGAACTTTATTTTGAACACATTTACAAAATTGAATTTTGATAACCTAAGATTGTTTTTTAATTAACAACTTTAATTAAATCAGCAATAATGTAAGAAGATCCATATCATTCTCAAAAAACTAGCTGCTGATGTAAATTGCTCCGTATATTTATATGATTGTTGAAAGATCAGAGGTTTTGGAATTTTAAAAATTAGCTCTCAAAAGTAGCTTCCTTTTTCCAAATAGTAGGAAAATAAATTTTAGATAAGAACTTAGTTAAACAGTTTTGAGAATAAATAAGCTCAAAAAAATTAAATATTGTTAAAACAACTAAGTTTTCTTTAAGATTCTATAAATTTAATCGTAATAAAAGAGTTCTAAAAGTTTTGTAGACAAACGTAGATATTAAAGAATCTACCATTTCCATCATTTAAAAGTTGAATGAAAAACAATTATGTCAAAACAAAGCAACAATTATATCAAAATAGCAGTTCTTTGTTTAGATGAGATACTTATAATCGTGTTATAAGTAATATCAAATTAATATCAATTTTAACAGTTGGTATTTTTGTTTGATGCCGCATTAATAGATAGATATAATTAAATAGTATTAAAATATAATTAAAGTAGTATTTACAGTTTGAGAACCAAAAGTAATAACAAATACTTACATGATTTGAATCAGTAAATTAATTTAATTCAAACATTTTTTCAATTAGTTATTGTTAAAAGGCAAAGTTAAGGTTATTTAGCAGGAAACACAAAGGACAAACTTAAGGCTCATTAAAGGCAGTAAATTGCTGGGGTAGGGCTGTTCAGTATGCTAATTTGTTTTCAGAACATAGCTAATTGAAGTTTTTCCCATTCAACTATCATATTGTGGTTCAAAAATATTTTTTACTAAATTTTATTATTTGCCTTAAAGGTCCCTCAAAGCCACTAAACATTTGACAGGTCCCTAATATTATTAAAAAAAAAAATATTTAAAAATATGTCAACTTGGTACTCAAAAGAAGCAAAATTTTATAAAAATTTTAAAAATTAGATTCATTTTTTATAAAAAACAACTTAAAAAAACTTATTAAATAAAATTTAGTAAAAAATATTTTTGAACCACAATATGATAGTTGAATGGGGAAAACTTCAATTAGCTATGTTTTGAAAACAAATTAGCATACTGAACAGCCCTATTGCTGGTTTTTTTTTTTTTTAATGAGCATTTTAGGAAACAAGTGTTATAAAAATTTGATGTTTTTTTTTTAATACTAATTCACTCCAACAAAGCTGCAAGCAACAACTATTAAATTGGGAGTTGCTAGGAAACAAAGAATCTAGTAAAGAATTCCTTAAATAAAGCTCATTCATGCAGGCTTTGTCGAAAAGCGGGAGCAATCGCTCTCGATCGCTGACCACAGAAATAATATTTAGTTGCAAAAAACTGGCCAGATTTTTTAGTCGTTTTTAAAACATTTCAAAAAGCAAAAAAAAAAAATGTGCTAAAGATTAATTGGACTGAAGAGAGACAATTACATAAAAAAAAATTAGGAAAAAAATTTCTTTTAATGCGAAAAAACTTAAGGCAAAATAAATTACGTTTAGAACAAATGTTTTCAAAACATTGCTCTTTGATAATTTTTTTTTATAAAATTATGCAACGTTTTTTATATAAAGTAACATCTTACGATTGTTTAAAAAGGAAACAAATGTTCTTTATTTAACAAAGTTTGCAAGTTTTAGTTTTATTTAAGCTAAATTATTTTATAAATAAAAAAGTTAATTTTTTTAATACCTATTTTATGTCTCACGTAGTTTGAAAAGTTTAACATATTTGAAGCAATTCTTCTTAGTAAGATTAACAAATGAAATAATTAAATCATTGAATTACTATAGAAATTTAATTACTTAGATAGAAATTAACTAAAAAGGTTAAAAATACTATATGACCAGGAAGTTTGTAAGTCTTTGTTCACAAATTAAACCATAAAAATTGCTTTAAAAGATATATTACGATAAAAACAGATACACAAAATTACATTTACATAAAGAATACATACTTTTTAAATAAAAAATAAGAATATACTAATAAAATCTATAATTTATCATAAACTTTCAAAATTTTGACAATTTAAATTATATATATTTAAAACATTTATTTTTGTAAACAAATAATAATAGTTTATAATTTTTACGGTTTTGCAGATGTGGCTTCAAGAATGAGCCATAGTATTGATAATATAATTTATGTTACAAATCTCAAAACATAACAAATCGTGAGTAATACAATTTCTAAAACATTTCAATAGAATACTCCTAAACTTTATTTCACTTAATCAGCGTATTTTTTGAACTAATAGAATTAGTTTGTTCATTAATTTGGTGGGTTTTTAGTGTTTGCAAATATTCTTTTTATTCTTCCGCACCATGATGTTTTAATAATATTCAAGTTTTTTATGTTTCCATGTATGTACGTAAAATAAAAATTTTTTGTTTCATACATAAACTTAAATATTCTCAAAACGGCTGAAACAACCTGGCCAGTTTATTGCAACTAAATATAATTTCCGTGGTCAGTATTTGAGAGCGATTGCTTCCTGACCAAGCCTGATTCATGCAATTTGTATGCATTGAACCTCAGTTCTTATGGTTCTAATCTAATCACTGTAACATGACTGCCAAAAATTAGCATATAAACACTAAGTCTGAGCTAAAATTATATTGTTCTGCTGCTGGCTTTTTAACTGTAATAAAAAGTTTTACTGTGATGGAAGCAGCAATGGTACGGTTATTGAAATATCAAAGGTATTCAATGAAGTCTAACTAATGGTTTTTAAAATTATTGAATGGTATTTTTCTAAATGCAGTATCAAACTTGTTTTTATTGAATAATGTTCTTCTTACAGTAACTTCTGAGGAACTAAAATGTTTTATCATTGGTCTAGTGTTGTTGTTTTTTTCAACAATAATTTTTCTGGTAGTTTTACCTCTAAATTGGCCTCTAGTATTTGCTGCAACTATATTTTTGTATTTGATGCAACTATATTCAACAGCCTAACAAAAAGTTGTCACTTTTTGATCGCTTAGAATAAACTAGGGATTCCAAAATTCCTGATAGTTTTTAGTTTTTCCGGATATCCAAACATTTTCCATACATACAAGTTCAAGAGTTGAATTAACGCATCGCGATTTGCGATATCTGTTAAATTTATTGTTTTGCTTTTTTTAGTTTAAAAATAGGACACTTTTTGTCTGCTAACCCCCCCCCCCCCCTCCCTCCCGCAGTTTCGCCACTGAGAGTAGTACTGACATTTACTTAAAACTAAAAACAGAGGTAAATTGAATTTTGAATATTGAAATTTATTAAATTGAACAATTTAATAAATTTTAGTTATAAAGAAGTATATTTAGAAATATATTTTTTTGTCTTTACTTTTATTATGATTTAATTGATTAATAATAAGACAAAATTTAAGTTTTTAGCCTCTCCCGCCCTCCCCTTTATATATAGATTTCTCCTAAGAAGTAAATTACCAGTGTTTTCATTGGTTGATTTTAAAGTGAACGCGCGTTTTTTCCGGACCGTTTGTAAGATGTTTAGAAATGCTAAACTGTTTATAAAAATATGTATTCGTAAAAGTTGCTGAGGTTTTTAACATTGTTTAAATATCCATTTTATTTTTTCTAGATGCATTACTACTTTAATTAATGTTTGGAATTACTTAACTAAATCATTTTTATTTATAATATCTTGATTATGTGTTGTTTGATCAAACAATAAACTATAAATGTAACATAAAAGAGTGTTATAAAAGTAACAACACTGTAGTATTATTACTTTTGTAGTCATAAATTTATTGTTTTGTTTTTCATAAGATTTTCACTAACAAATTAAAGTTTATTCGTCTATTCTGTAAATTTCGTGGTTTTACATAAACTGAAACTTTGAAGACCAGATAAATTAACAGATATCGCAAATCGCGATGTGTTAATTCAACCCTTGAAGTTTAGGTATACATTTATGAAATATATTTGTTTTTTTGGCTTTTTCAATCGTCACTCATAGAAAATAAGGAAAAATTAAAAAAAAAGTTAGAAACAACTCAGCTAAAAACAAATTTAAGAGAAAAATAAGGGAAAGTATATTCCAAAGTTTTTCCTGAAATTTTACCCAAACAAATGTCCGGATTTTTAAAATATGACCTGGATGATCTATAGAATAGATAACTAATCTTAAATGCGATTTCACCTATGTAACATCTTATGGTTTGCAGTGAATCCATTTTTTCCAATTGATTTATATGTATAATAATTATATATGTGTATATATATATATATATATATATATATATATATATATATATATATATATATATATATATATATATATACACACACACACACACACACACACACACACACACACTATAGCGCATTTATATAAGCATTTGCTCATTTTAATATGGCTTTTTTAGAAAAAGAAAAAAAAAACAAAGAATAATGAATGAAAAGATTGCTGCCCCATGCCAAACCCTCAGTCGATGTAGCGTTGCCACGAATCAGGCTATTTGTCAGCTGATGTATGTACTGAAGCCCCTGGCAGCAGGCTATTTCAGTATGACGTCAGACTGCTCACCTAAATCAGCAGTATAAGATTTCCAATTTGATTATTTAAACAGAATAATCAAATTGACTTTCAGACTTCGAATGCTCAAAAAAATAAGCAATCTATCAAGATTATTAACTTAATTAAGCATTTGTATATTATGTAGTAATTAAGTCTTACATTGTTTGTTTGTTATATCAAAAAAATAAATATTGCTAGTATGCTCATATTAAAAAAAAACCCTATACTGAACTTAATTTCAAGTAAAATTTGACAAATTTTCTAATTATTATTATTTATGGAGTTTCCCAGACCCCATTCACCTGATGATTTATAATTTATTTATTTGTAATTAATTTTTAACAGCATTTTTTTTTTTCTAATTGCATTATTTATTCATCTAGATATTTTTATATAACACTATATCAGAACACTTGCAAGATTCTTTAATATGCTCTGTTTTTTAAGTTCAATTTTTAGACATAATCTTATGGCAAATGAATTGTTTATCTTTTTCCATTTTATTAATTTGGTTCAGAGGTTTAAATAAATGGGTGATTAAGGCTTTATTTCTGCCCCCTGTTTAGAGAGCCTAATCATAATTCCTTTTGTTTTCCTGTTGATTACCAACAAGAAAAAAAAATTTACTTAATAATTTAAAGATATCCTTTCTCTTATATATATATATATATATATATATATATATATATATATATATATATATATATATATATATATATATATATATATATATATATATATATATATATATATATATATATATTTATACAGATAGATATTATGGTGCTTTAAAAATCACTACTCAGTGTTGTTAATGTGGTGTGGTTATTTTTTGTATTAATCTATTTTTAGATTCTAATTCAGAAAAGATTTATATAAATTTTCTCTTTATTTGAGTAATAAGTTGACTTTTTAATAAAACATTTTAGGGACCATTTAAACAATATTAGGAACCTGTTGAATAGAAGATGAGCTTAAGTATGAACTAAATATTGAACAATTAAACTTAAATTAGACTTGAAACTTCAAATTGTGTATCTGGGATTATTAAATCATTTCTTTCTACTTCTTTATTATAATCATTGTCAAGGCCTACTTATTTATTTCTAGTAACTTCTGGGGTATCTCAAGGTTCTATTCTTGGTCCTGTTTTGTTTCTTATCTACATTATTGATCTTCCCGACAACCCTACATCTATAGTAACTCTTTTTGCTGATGACTCAAGTTTTTTACCTGTCTTGACAAAAAGTCTTCTCTTTTTGATCACTTAGAACAGGCAGCCAATTTTGTATCTGTTGATACAAAATTGGCTGCCTGTTCTAAGCGATCAAAAAAAGAAGACTTTTAAAATATGCGACCCCTAATCTGTTCACAGATTGAGGCTTAAATTAGCTTATAAGTTTTATTTCCAACAAAACTCAGTTATTTACTGCAAACAACTACCACAATACTGTCGACATTCCTATATTAATTAATGGTAACCCTCTTACTGAGTCCTCTTTTTTATATCTTCTTGGAATATTATTTGCTACTAATCTTTCATGTAAACAAAATATACAATCGATTGCTAAATTAGCATCCCTTTATCATTATTGCCGTTTTCTTACCCTTGATTCCATTCTCTACCTCTACAAATATCTTTTTTTCCCTGTATGGAATGTTGTTGTCATATTTGGGCTGGTTCTTCTTATAATGCCCTTTTTCTTCTAAACAAGCTATATCTGCTAAGCTTGAGCCTCCTTCCCATTGTCATAAAGTTGCATCTCTTTCTCTTTTCTACAAATTCTATCATGGTGGCTGCTCAAGAGAATTATTATCTCTAGTTCCATTAACAAAAACTCATTCTCGCTTGACTCTTTATTATGCTAAGTTTCATTCATTAGTTGTTAAATTTTATTAAATATAATAAATGTAAATAAATAATGTTTATTGTGTCAATATACACTAAAAACAATAAAGATAAAATTGAGGAAGATAAAATTATCAAAGTAGTTTTTATACAGAACTGCTTCAACCGTGTTAACCTTTAACAATGTTAATATACCAAAACAAAAATTAATTCAGTAAATTTCAGTATTTATTGTCCTATTTAAATCAGAAATTAAAATATGAATTAAGATAATGCCATTAAAGTTAAATTTAGTAACTTAAACAATGAATTTTTGAATATTTCCCAAAAAAACCAAAAAAACGGACCCTATGTTTTTTTTCCAAAAAAACAAGAACCAAAAAAACGCGTCACATCTCTCTCTCTCTCTCTCTCTCTCTCTCTATATATATATATATATATATATATATATATATATATATATATATATATATATATATATATATATATATATATATATATATATACATACATACATACATACATACACAATTTGTAGGTGAATCCAAACAAAACTCAGTTGTTAAGAAAGTAGATCGTGTCTGTTTTAAAATTAATTTTGTCATAATATTAGTTTTCATAATGAAAAAATGGAATCTAACCAGAATTAAGTTTGTAATTTAATAATTACTCTTATTTTTTATTAGCCAATCACCTTACTTCTTTTGGATATTCCTCCCATGATGCAGTGTGTTGAAGGAGTGGTGTTAGAGTTGCAAGATTGCTCTCTTCCACTTTTACATGGTACTGTTTTTTTTTTAATGTTTGTTATTTTTTATTTAATAAATGATTGTGCATATGTGTGTATGTGTACAATGGATAATATATATATATATATATATATATATATATATATATATATATATATATATATATATATATATATATATATATATATATATATATATATATATATATATATATATATATATATATATATATATATATGTATGTATGTATGTATGTATGTATGTATATATTTAAAAGTTAAAAATAGCAAAATTGTCATTTTATAAACGTTTTTTAAACATAAATGTCTTATGCTAACATGTAAATAAATATATGCTCTTTTACTTTCTTTTACTTTTTCTCTATAAATATAAATACTTATTGTTTTGTAGATGCTATTGCTACTTCTGACCCCAATGTTGCATTTGAAAACATTGATGTGGCTCTTCTTGTTGGAGCAATGCCTAGAAAAGAAGGTATGGAAAGAAGCGATCTGCTAAAGGCTAATGCAAAGATTTTTGAGACTCAAGGAAAAGCATTGGATACTTATGCAAAGAAAACTGTCAAGGTTAGTTTTTAACATAAGTTTCTATTATAAATATATATAGTTTGCTGCTAAAATTATGTTTACTTTTTTATTTATACAATATAAAATATATTTTGTTATTACTTATTATTTTTTAACATCATGACATTAACACATTAAGTGTTTCAATCACTTGACAGTGTTATATAATTAATGCATGCCCATTGCCTTAAATAAAAAGAGTTTTACTTTAAGTTAGTCTTAAATTATAAGATATTGGCTAATTAAGCTGATGCAAATTCATACCTTAAATTAGTATTTAAATACTTTTTTTAGTAAAATTATTATTATTATAAAGGTAGTTTTAGATGATGCTGATATTAAATGAGGTAATATAGATTGCTTATTCTATAATTCTAGTCAGAAAGTAAGATGCAAATTCTTACCTCTTTAATATTTAAATATTAAATGTATGTCTTGAGTTTCTAGTCAGGAAGTTAAATATTGGCAATATTTTAATGATTACGTGTTCAAAACAATTGAATTGCAGAGTTTTAGTTTTACACATGCATTTATAGTTGTGTAATATAACTTAATATAACTCATATAAAAGCAATATATTTATATTTATTATATAATTAGCCATAAAAATAGATTAAAATATGAAACAAAAAGTTTACTTGGATAACACTCATTATAAAATTGAAAATTAATAATAATGAATTTTTCAACTATATCATGTTTTTATTCATCCGATTTGAATCATGATTTAAATTGATTTACATCAATCAATTTGAATCAAAGTAACAACTTTTTTTATTAAGACTTTTCAGATATTTGAAAAGTCTTTATAAACAAAACACTAATACACACACACACACACACACACACCACACACACACACACACACACACACACACACACAGAAATGCATATAAAACAAGCATTTGTGTATGTGTGTATATATTTATTTTATTAAATAAATCAAGGCTATTGCGGGGACCACTTTAGTGGAGGAGGCTACAATTTTTTTTTAATTTATTTATTTGAGTATGTTTGTATATGTATATTAGAGCGCCTCTAAAAACAACTTTTTTTGAAATTGTCTGCTGCCACCCCCTAAATGTGTTCTATGTAATAAATTTGATTGATTGTAAACAATATTTTTTTAATTAAGGACAGTTAATTAGGGCGTAAGAAAAAGTCAACCTTGCTATTTCATTGCATAACTGATATTTTAAAGATGATTTTTATGGGTGAAGGCGGTGCTATTAGAAGTCATCAAATTACTATTAATTTAAAGGATTTATAATTTTGATGTTGTTGTGAAAAAGATATATAAAATTAACTTAACAATGTACTGTTCTTACTACTCATTCATTTTTTTGTTTAAATATACCTTTTTAATCTAATCAATGAAATTAATTTGTTGTTGTACAACAACACTGCACGCTAATGGTATAAAATCAAATCTGTTACTATTGTTGTTTTTGTGATAAGATTGTTTATGTAAAATAGTATTTTTTAGTATTTATTTGGTAAAACATACTTAAAAAATAAAACATTGTTATTGATATATACTTAATTTTAGTGTATATATATATATATATATATATATATATATATATATATATATATATATATATATATATATATATATATATATATATATATATATATATGTGTGTGTGTGTGTGTGTGTATACATGCATATACATACATTAGTTATTTATTTTTTAGACCTTAAAGTTAAATAATGATACTTGTAAAAAAATTTTATTCTTCTAAAAACAAACAAAAAGTTAAAACGCATTTAGTATCTAAAGATGCTTTGGTCATAAATTTTGATGAGAGTGATGTTGATAGTGATAGCAATAATAGTGATTTAGATGGTGCAAATTATGGCGTAAAGTTTCTGTCCCAAAAGAAATTGATGCTTTTAATGGTGAGCCTTTTCCAGAACCACCTTATCCAGAACTAACACCTTATCAGTACTTTAAAAAACTTTTTAGTTCTGAAATATTTGATCTAATTGTAGAACAGACAAATCTATATAGTACAAATTTGACTGGTACATCGATAGCAGTGACAAACGATGATATCGAAAAATAAGTTGGCATATTAGTTTTGATGTCAATACTTAAACTTCCTCATCAGGGGTTATACTGGACTTAGTTTAAATTTTTTTTTGTTATGGGATGATAATTAGAGCATGAAAGGGTTAAGAGGCACTCTAGTGTATATATATATGTGTGTATATATATGCGTGTGTGTGTGTGTGTATATATATTTGTATATATTTGTATATATATGTATTTGTATATATTTGTATATTTGTGTATGTTAATTTTAATATGCATTTTTATATTTAAATGTGTGTTTAAAGGTTCTTGTAGTTGGTAACCCAGCTAATACTAATTGTCTGATTGCTCAACGATGTGCTCCATCGATTCCCAAAGAAAACTTTTCTTGTTTAACCAGACTTGATCAAAATCGTGCAGTGTCACAGGTACTTATCATTAACATATAAATTAGTTAGTATATAAAGTAGTAAAATATATTTAAATTCAAGTAAATTTAGTTTGTCTAAATCAAAAATAATTTTTTTGTATTTCTATTAAACGCAGGTTGCTATGAGATTAGGTGTAAAAACAAACGTTGTTAAGAAAGTCATTATATGGGGTAACCATTCTTCAACCCAGTACCCAGACGTCAATCATGCTACTGTTGAAATAAATGGTCATATAAACCCTGTAAAAGAGGCTGTTAAAGATGACCATTGGCTTGAAGGAGATTTTCTGAAAGTATTTGTAGCCTTTTTTTATATTATTATTATTCACTTTATTAAAATGCTGTTTTGATATTTTGGTATTAGGTCTGTATAAAATGAAATTATTTTTAACTTTAAGGTTGTACAAACTCGAGGAGCTGCCATTATTAAAGCTCGCAAACTTTCTAGTGCAATGTCTGCTGCCAAAGCAATTTGTGATCACATGAAAACATGGTGGTTTGGAACAGCTGATGATGATTATTGTAGCATGGGTGTTGTTTCGGATGGTTCTTATGGTATACCTGAAGGAATTGTTTACTCTTTTCCACTCACTATTGATAGCACTCATACTTACAAAATTGTTCAGGGTTTGGAAATAAATGAGTTTTCTCGTGAAAAGATGGATGCTTCTGCAGTTGAACTTTGCCAAGAACGTGATGATGCATTTTCCTTTATTCAAATCCAGTGACTTGTTAGTAAGTTGTGATGATCTAAGTATAATCCAGTGACTTGTTAGTAAGTTGTGATGATCTAAGTATCTTCAACAGAGTTTAATAATCTTAAGAATAATATTAAATATTTGGAAATAAGTTTTGTTTTCTTCTAAAATTTACACGCAAGGAATTTTCCTACAGTTATACTTTTATGTATAACTTTTATGTATAAATTAAACAACGAATGCAACAGGTGTTGTTTTTGTTGATGGAAACAAGTTCATCTAATGTTTTAAAAGATGTTTTTTAAAGTTTTTTTTTAACTTCAATCTATTTATAATCATCTTACTATTATACAACACGCAATTTCAACTTCAATTAACCTCTGACTCGTTGGAAATTTTTTTTTTTTTTTTTAAAAAAAGTTTTTGAAACTTGATTATTTTTTTTCATGATTCAATAAAAGTCTTAAAAGTTACTTAACAAATGTATAATTTTGATAAAAGTTTCAGCAGTATGGGTCATTTTTCACATTAAATATGAACAAAATTAAATAGTTTTTTTTAAAAAAACATTTCTGGATTCGAAACATTTAAACATGTTTATGTCTTGGTCGTAATTTTTTATTTTCTATTTTTCCTATTCGACACTATTTCTCCTTACAAGAAATAAATTCGATATTATACGACTGACATCGAATGTTTTGAATTACAACATTATCTGTATCTTATGATACGACGCGATCTCTATACCAATAGGCTGCTGTTTATAAAAGTTGTCTTAATCTGGGACTATTTTTCTATAGTGATTATTCCATCCCCGTGAAACATACATTTCCCAGTTGTTGCATTATTGTGATCGATATTATCAGCTCCCATTCCTTGAATCCATTACTCTGAAGGAGAAGGGAAGGGGTGCTTTTGGGTACTTTTAGCTTATATAGCTGCTGGATATACTTTAGGGATTTTTAATCTATTTATACTGCAGTATAGGTCGCCGTCGTACAGGTCTAATGAACAGAGAGGGGGGGATCTTAATAAAAAAGTGGTTGAGATTATTAGTTCCAAATAAAATGGTAAAATTAAAAGCACTCGAAGTAAATTGTAAAAATAGTAAAATTAAAATGCACTCAAAAGTAAAATTAAAAGCACTCGAAGTAAAGAAAAAGATTAAATAATGGACCTGAAACATTTGTAGCAAGTGATGGATGGTTAACGAAATTTAAAAAAATGCCACGTTATACGGATTTGGTACACTTGCGGTGAGAGTATGTCTTGCAATGTGGAGCTAGCTAATTCGTTTAAAAATATATTTAAAAATTATGTTGTTGAAAATATCTTTTTGCCTTAACAAATATATAATTGCGACGAAGCTCGTCTTGTCTATAAAAGCTTGTCCATTAAAAACTAACGTTACAAGTTTTAAAAAATCCGCTGCTGGAAGAAAAGCAATGAAGGAAATAGTAACAATTATGCCATGCGTAAATGCTACAGGTACGCATAAATTAGATTTGATGATGATAGATAAATCGAAATCTCATTGCTTCAAAAATTTGGATTAGCCAGTATATTACAAATCATCCAAAAATGCTAGACCAACTTATACACTTTTTAGCGACAGGTATAATGATATATTCATAAATTCAGTAACTCGACGCTTGGAATTTAAAAAATTTCCCGTAAAAGCCTTTCTTTTAGTAAATAATCCAACTTGCCATTGGTCTGAGAATAATTTTACTGGTAACTCGAATTTCAAAGTTATGTTTTTTCCCCCTTAAAACACACCATTATTGCAAACACTAGATCAAAATGTTATAAAATCACTAAAACAACGCTATCGCAAACATCTACTTGTATGTCTTCCAGCCTTAGGTGCAGAAGATGGAATAGTTTCACCTCTGAAAAATATAAATTTGAAAGACGTTGTTTATTTGGCGGTGCATAGAATAAAATCTATTTTCAGTACTGAAAAATATAACTTCGAAAGATGTTTATTTAGTGGGCATGGAATAAAATTTCCACGTCAGTGATACAAAATTCATTTAAAAATCTTTTTTCGTCAAGTGATGAAATTCAATACAACATTCCTTCCAATTACTTTTCAGAAGAAGATAATATTCTCTTGGCAAGATTATATAATTCGATATTTAATGATTGTAATTTAGCAAATGCTGAAATTATGGGGTGGGCAAGTGGAACAAGAGAGGCAATTCATCCATTTAACCTTGAAGAAATCCTGAAGTAGAAAGTGAAACTACTCCTGTTGAAGAAAATGAAAAAACATCGAATGACTCAGTAAAATCATCAATGATTTCATAAATTCTTTTAATTTAGTGATAGAAAAAGAAAATGACTTACCCTGCAATGAGGTTCTTTTGTTACTAAAAGTAAGAGAAAAAGATATGATATATATGTAATTGTTTTTATTTGTTTTGGCAATTAGTGCTGTACTAAACCAAAGATTTATTAAAACTTAATTGTTTTTTTTTTTTTAATATAATTAATAACTACGCTTATATGATAATAATAATCAAATAATTTCTTTTGCAAAACAAAACTTTTTTTTACAAAAGTTTATTTATTCTTATTTAGTAAAAGAAATATATTACTTACTAATGATAAGTATTTTTATACTCTTTTTTTACCTATAAGCAACTTTTCCCAATAAGAAACTTTTTTATTGAAATTGGTTTAAATGAATAGCTTATATAGAGTCTTCACTGTATTTTCTAATTTATAAAGTCCATTTTACGCTGGAAGGAATCTGTAACAAATGTTTTTGACTATTCTGAAATTCACTTCTCTCTGTCTATCATACACACAGGGGTAAAAATCTTTGCTGTATTTGATTGAACTTATTTTTTTCGCTACTATTTGAACTTATTTTCTTCGCTACTAGCCATCATCCTTAAGTTTTCTTAATATATAGTTTTTCATAATTTTAAACATAACCAGTTCACCATTTCAGCCAGCACTTTTGAAAAATGGGTGCGTTTTTTATACTTTACCTTCAGTTATGATCGAAACGTTTTAAGAAAATATTAACACCGTTATTGTCTTCGATCATCTTGTCAAATCTCTCTAATATAATATATTTTGTTTCCTGCAGCGTTTTTTATTAAAAAAATGATTTTAAATGCCTTGATCGTGATTGTACCTTTCGACCTTTCTCTTCCTTTTTCCCCCTTTGTTTAGCCTAAAGTCAGCCACGCATGAACACTAAACTGCTTTTTCTGCAACTAGGTCATTTAATATTTCCAATTTTGTAAGTACTGTTTTACCTCAAATACTCCTACTTTTTACACACTCGATAATAGTGTAATGATTGCGTTTGCGCCTGATGAAACTTATCTTATTGTCTTTTTTTTTATGTCTTTATCAACGACTTAATGGGAAAAAATAAAATAAATCTACATTCTCTGTATAAGAGAATTAATAATGGAATTAAAAATTTGAATTTAAATTTAAAATTAAAATTTGAGCCGGGATAGCTTAGATGGTTAAAGCGCTGCTATAAAGTTCGGAATAATTATTGGTAGTAAAAGCAGGGTATCTGATTCAAATCCCAGTTCCGCCTACTTTAGCGTATAAGTAGTACTTCGGTATGAAGGGAACTCGTCTCGATTAGCTCTGCTATTACGATGTTTCCTCCTTGACTAGTAAATTAATAAGCTAGTCGAGTAAATGAAAAATATTGTTAAATATATATTGATAATATTGATATATTTTGTTACAAACAAATTTCAAAAGAGTTCAACAAGTATTTCACAAGTATCGATCTAAAACTTGCTAATAAAATAATAACACCATCAGACTCATTTAAAATATGCCTAAAATTTTAAATTGACGCAACATTATGCGACAATGATTTAAGCTGTTAAGATTTTGAAGTAGTATATTACCAGAATGATATAAAGTTTCCAGCAATTTTAATAAAACTAGCTTTAGTAGACCTCTATTTCATATACTAACTCTCATTAAGTAGATTATTTATCCTTATGCTTTTAAATTAGCTAAAACAATCCTAATTTACAAATGTATTAATTATTCGGACATTACAAATTATAGACCGATATCATTACTTTTTGTATTTTCAAAACTGTTTAAACGCAAGTCGAGTTTGCTCGCTAATATGGCATTCACTTGTTAATATGACAAAACTATTAGCGAGATGTATCATTTGAGTTTTTATGCTATATTTTACTATACAATGTTCTTATATCCGAAGATATTGTTGGCTTAGCATAGGAACAACCCCAAATAGTCATTAAGACTAATCCAAAGTAGCGTCCGATATTGACCAACACTTTTGCATACTGAAGTACTACTCAAGCGCTGAGTTGGTGGTGGCGGGATTTGAACTCGTATCGTTCAACAGTCCGGGTTTTAACTTTTCCAACCATCTGAGCTATCCCGCCACAAATATCAAATTTACTAATTTAATACAAAAAGCTTCAAATTAGTATATTTTGCCCTAATTCACTTTTTATCAAGTATGCTAATTGGCATATATGAAAATATCATGGAAAATTGCGCAAAAATCTATTTATTTGTGTTTTTTATCTTTCTCTTATAATGGGAAAAACGGAAAAAAACACATCTAAACTTTTTACAGTATTTGTATTAATATGGTATGCACCACGGAAAAAAACACATTTTATCTTTTACGGAGTCTTGATTGTGGTTTTTTATTTATTGTTAGTTTTATTGAAAAATTTGAAGCGTTTATTATTATGACAAAAAGTTATGCAAGCGTTTTGTCGTCTTCTGCATCTTCGATCTATCAGCCCAAGACACAACTTGGTATTTTTAAATCCAACTTGTCGAGCGATAACGCCAATGTTTTAGTTTGCAGATACGGTGGCCTTAATTTTAGTGTTAACGATTTTTTGCTTTCTAAAAACCTTCTAGCAAATGTCTGGGGAGTCACAAGGCACTACTCAAATCAACTGTTTGAATTCGCAGTTATAAATAATTCGGCTGTCGAGTTGTTTTTGAAGACCGAAATTGAAGTCAAAGGCTGTGTTTTAAAGTTTCAACAAAAGTTTGTCCGAAAAGTGCATGTCCAAGTGCAAAAATCCCTATTGGTATTTTGCGAAATAGATGTCAAAGTGCTTTCATTCTTCTTGGAAAACATCTTGCAACCGGCAGAGG